CCTTGCTATGTCTAATATTGTTCCTGATGCTTGTGCTGGTATATTTTCATATTGTCTACGATATTGTGTTAAGGTATACATATCTGGTATATTTCTATTTTCTACATAAGTTTCTCATGAGGGATTTAATCTTTGTCCAGTAGTAAAGTCATCACTTAAGGTATTACTACCTGAGGTGTTAGTCTTTCTTTGGTCACTCATTTCTTGGTCAATTGAGTGAGATTCTGATGCTTCTGGTGCTTTCCCTTCTCTATGCTCTATTACATTTAACTCTTCTTTTACTATGTTTAATTCTAATGTTGTATAAAAAGATTCAAATCCAACACTATAATATTTTTCTTGATATCATCATTATTTCCTTGTCCTAAATAAATACTTTTGATAAATTGGTATTTAGGTTCTGGATACTTTTCTTGCAATGCTTCTAATTATAAATTATTAAAATCGTACATTATTTTATCTAGAATTTCATCTTCTAATCTATCATAAAGGACATTTATTTCTTCTGGAGATTCGATTTCTATTAGTGTAGTTAAAAAATCTTCTTGAGTATCATCAACTAAATTGTCTTGTCTTTTATAATTACTAAACTTTATGCTAGCATCTCCGCTATTTGAAACATATATCATATTATTTTCGGGAATCTTTTTAGGTGTAGTAGTAAGTTTAGGTAATTTCCATTATGTTCCTTCATGGGTAATACTACTTACTTTTCTGGCTTCTATCATTTGGACATATTTGCTACTAAAAGGTTTAACTATTTCACTAAATTGGGCTTTAAACTTTAAGTTATACTGATTAACTGTCTTTCCTATAAATAAAGTATTAACTAATAGATTTTCAAATTGTCCTGTCATGTTATATCATTTTGTAAATATAGCTATCTTAATATATTTACTGAATTTTCTAGTAGTCATCGTATAATTGGGAATACATCCTACTATTGCGGCATTGTCGGCTAAGTCTATTTCGGCGCTGGCTATTTGTGCTTGTTGATGGTTATTCCATCTATCATCATAAATATAAGCAAGTGCTCTAGTTCTGGTTTCTACTCTGTTTAATCCTACTAATCCTATCATTATGAAGCCTAAATGCATAAGTTCTAAACTATTATTATTTAGTTCTTGGCATGCTTCGGGTGTTATAAGGTCTAAAATAACTTGATTATTAACTGCACTTATTTTTCTCCGGCTAAAATGATTATATATCTTGCTCTGAAAATCTAATAAATTATTAGAATAAAGATTAATTTTATTTTTTACCTTCTTCATTCTTTGTTCTATATATTTTTTAGCATCATGTTCATTATCATATAAATCTTTAACTCTCATTATTTCTTTGGCTTTTCTAAGGATAATGGCCATTGTGGTATTTGTTTATGAGGTTGAAGTTGTAATAAATTTACACGCTTGGCTATTATAGGAGAGGACTGGTTATTAACTGACAATTTTATTTCTTTTATTTTATCTGATAATTCAGATAATTCTTTTGAAGATTCTCTGGGAATACTTTCTTATATTACTTCTAATTTCTCTTCAAGTTTATTAACCTTATCAGATAACTGGAGTAATAACTGGATTAAAAAGTTATTTTGTCTAATATGTATATTAGTTGACTGTACGTCTGTTTTAAAGCTAGTAAATCCTATAGGTTATTTATCAATTTTGTAAAATTCAGCTAAAGCGGTTAGATATTCAAGACTATTGGTGCTCATAAAACTATTGTAATAATTTTTGGATATCGGTTTTAAGGGATTTTAAAGAGTCTATGATTATTTTCTGGTTTTCAGCAATATTTTTAATATCACTATTAATATCTTTAATTGCGACTAATATTATCTTATTGTCTAAATTATTTGGACTAGAATTCTGTACTACTTGTTCTTTAATATAATCTAAATTTTTTCCTAATCGTTTTATAGAAGTATCTAAATTATTAAAGTCAATTCTATTCATAAACTAAAATCGTTGCCGTCTAGCTTCTAAAATATTCTGAATTAATATAATTTTATATCTAAGTTCTTCAATTCTTCTTTGTAGACTACGTGTTGTGTCTCCTAATTCTAGCGCTATGTAGCAGTTCCTAAGTACTGTTTGACAAAATTCTAATACTTGAATAAGTTGTTCTTTGGGTAAATTATGCATAAATTAAACTCCGAAGGGTGAAAATTCAGCTTTATAAAGGGCTAAAATAGAACTTGGTTCATGTATTTATAAATATGTAAACTACGTTTGGTTACGAGTAATATACCTACACTAAGACCACTTTACTATAAAGGTCCCTTATTATTATTATTATTATTTTTATATTAAAAAAAATTACACTCACACGCCCATGCTATGCATACTTTATACTCACATCCGGAATCCAACTCTTCCCCACCTCTAGAATAAATAATTGGAAGGTTGAAGTTACAACAATATAAAATGTCAACCTTTCACCTCAATCAAAACTTGTTTTGCCGACAAGGTGAAAAGAGAAAATTAAAATAAACACTAACTGCACCCTAAAATACCTCAAATAAATTTCTCATTTGACAGTGTCCATCAGTAAAAACAATCCAATACTTCTTCTTATATTGTTATAGTTTCGATTCAAAAGCAGATATTACACAATTTAAATTTAGAACCTCAACCTAGAAACATATTCATTGGCAGACAATTGTATCAAAATTCACATTTTTTATTATTTATAATTTACATTATTTTAAATAACACTTACCATTTTAAGCGATATTTAAATTGCGCTACAAACACACTTAATTGGGTAAGTGTTAAATTCGTTCACAATTAAATCCTAAATTGAGTTATTAAATAGTTATCTTTGATTTGTTAGTCCTATGATGAAGTAGCTCGCGAGCCATAACAACTGCAAGACACCTTTTGAGCTTAGATGTAGGAACTTGATTTACATAATTAAAAAAAACAAAAAAGAGAATATTTCTTGGTGCAATTGTCAAAGTTTGAATTAAAATATTTTAAAGCAAATATTAAATCACATTTTTTTTATTTTTTTTTGATATACCTGAAATTTATCATTTACCTCTATAATCTTCAATTGCATAACCTCTGCATTTGAGGGGAACGGGCTCCAGCCTGAGTGGGGGTAAAAGGTACGTGTGAATGTTACTTTTCAAAAAAAAGAAGAAGAAGAAATCATTCATCTTCCATTTCATTCAATTTCTGACGTTGATTTTTTATATCCACTAATTTCTCGTTCACTATTGCATTGATTAGCATTATTTATTTGGTTAAAAACATTTAAAAATAAAAGTAAGAGAACTTTGATGTGGTTTGATAACTCAATTAAGTAATTAATTTTGAATAAATGAATGTTATGTTTGGAAAAATCGAATTTGTACCTCAAATTTAAAATTTAATACAAATTCTAAACTAAATATCTTCTAATCTCAAATTCAAATTATTTTGGAGTTTATTAGGATTCGTTGATTTCTCTTTTGCAGGAATGCAGCCATCCCACCATTGCTTTTCCTGCTTTTGAATCAATTCTTTGCTTCCTTTATCTTTAGTCGATCCCCTTACTTTGTCTGCCCCTTTTAAAAGCCACATAAGCGAAAAGAAGGAAAATTGTGACCCATCATCATTGCAAATGACCTAGGTACCTACATCTATATTACCTTTACCATTCTCCTCACAACTGGCTTTGGCTGTACTCAATTGAAGAAGAGTTTACGCGATGAGCTAAGTAGTGTCAAATTTGATGAAATAAAAATATTTTTCTAATTTATATTTTATATTTTTCTAATTTATATTTTAAAATTTTGGTTATTTCGATGTGTGTCAGTGAAGATCTTACTTCCAACATTTGATTTCAATAGGTAAGGGGAAAAACATTTGATTTCAATGAGGATCTTAGATTATACCGTTATGTTATTTAATCCCTTCACCTTTTAAGATTTTAGACCACTGTTCAATATTTCTTAATACTTGACATGTGGTATCAAAACTCCTCATTTTTATGAAAACTTACGGAGTTTTGAAAGGTTAAAGTTACACCGGTATAAAATGTCCGGCTTTTAATAACCTCTGTCGAAACAATGAAAAAAGAAAATTAACCTAACACTAACTGCACCCTAGAATATCTCATTTCACAATGTCATCCGTGAAAACAATCCAATGCTGCTTATTATATTGTTATAGTTTCCATTCAACAGCAGATATTACACAATTCAAACTTAGAAGCTCAACATAGCAACATATTCTTTGACAGAGAGAATTGCATGAAAATTAATCCACATTTGGCAAGACAGAGAGAATGAGAGTGTAACAATTCAAGACAAAATCGTACCTGTGCGTGCTGAAAATATCGACCCATTAATAGTCATCCATGGAATGGACGAAAAAGAAGAAGGAAAAAGGGGCTACTTCATTACTTTTCTAAGAATAGTATTTCATATTTGAGAGAAGTAAAAGTTAGAAAGCAAATTCACAATTCATTTGGTTGATGGTTTATTGAAAAATCAAATTAAAAACAACTTAATTTCAAAGAACAATGACAGTTATTTGAAAATTGTTTTCAGATAATTAAACTTAACAAGCCTAAAGGTCTTAGGCTACGAAACAGTCACTAGCTCAGATCATTTGACATACAAAATCATGAACATGCATGTAACACTATAAATCATAATAAAACTTGCCCGCCTTGATGCATAAGACCACACGCTTAGTTGAATAAACCTATGACCTTCGGTGCCGAATCCTCAAATGGCGAGACAGCCCCAAAAAGATAGCAGCCACTCAGCCAATGAATTTCAAACATTGATATAAACAACCTAGTCTTCATGAAAGTGCTTACATGATATATCACTATGAGGATTAAAAATTGAATCAGCAGGGGATATAGTCTAACAAAAGTTTCGGCTCCAAATTTCCGTCACTCCGGTTCTTATCTCATTTTGTGGTAATTCTATCTTAACTTTCCTTCCAATGAAGCTCTGGTCCAATAGTTTGATTTTTAGATTAACAGGTTTCAAACATCAATTTCAAAAGACTGCTTCACAAAACTATATAAAAAGCAAAGTTGAAAAACATCCTAATACAATATCATCCCAAGATTCACAAATGTACTTCAATCACAAGAACCCTAATACCATATCAACACAAGATTCACAAAACTAGCTTCAATCACAAGAACCCTAATACCATATATATATATATATATATATATATATATATCACCCAAGATTCAATCACAAAAACCCAGATTAGAGTGCCCATTTAATTTTTTTCTAATTAGCTGCCTTCAAACACCGGCCAGTCTCGAACGAAACAAACGCATCGACGCAAGCGTACTGTATCTGATCCTCACTCAGCCAATCATCATCCCAATTACTCCTGGAAACACTCTTCGGCTTCTCAAAACTCTTCCCAAGAACATCTTTTGCCAACCTCACCAAACCCGCATTGCGAAGGCCAGGATCATTCAAAGCTGTCACTGCCAAACTGCGAATATCGACCGGTCTAGACACCCGCAACCCATAATCGAAGAAAAGCTTCTGTGCGTCATCTTCGACCTTAACGCCGACGAAAGTGAAATCGTCGTTGGAGAGGAATTCTACGAGGGATTTGGGGATTTCGGGGGCGATCAGGATTTGGAAGATGAGGCAATTGTGGCCGACGCAGAGTTGAAGTGTGGCGACGGGGCTTTCTTGTCTGGGAACGGGACGCCACTCGACATCGAGGCCGACCACGAGCTTGTGGAGGCGGTGGTGGTGGAGGCGCTTGATGTCGGAGATCCAAGTGTCGACGATGCAGGTGGTGTTGGTTACTAGGGTTTTGATGGTGTCATCGAAGAAGGTCACGTCGTAGAGCTCGTATGAATAGTAAGTTAACCCGAAGCTCCGAATGCTTATGCTCATGGCGGTTCGGGAGAGAGATGAGAGAGAAATGTTTTGGGGGCAAATTTGAAACTGTAGCGTCGTGTGTTTAATTTATTACTTGGAAATCCGAACATGGGCGGTATTTCAAGGCAGGTGATCAGAAATACTTTCCAATTCCACTTTTCTCCACACTTAGCCATTAAGTAAAGCAAAGTATTAGAAGTACCCTTTTTCCGGCTGCAAAAGAATCTATTCTCTAGGCAAAGAACAATGACAACCTTAAAATTTAAGCTTTATTTGGATCCGAGACAAAATAAAAAAAATGATACTATTATGTTACGGTAATGAAATAAAATAGAATGTTTATTTTAATTATTTTTTTATTTAGTATGTAACTTAAATGGGAATAATCATTCCATTAGAACGAAAATTCATTTCTAGAAATGAAAATCCATTTTAAATTTTAAATTGGTTCAACTAAACACTATAATGATTATTATTATTCCATTCATACGCATTTCACATTTACAACCAAACAATAGAATGAGAATGACTATTCCATTTCATTCCCATTCTCATTCCATTCTTACTTGCATTGTTACACACCAAACGTAATATTAGTTACGAGAGAAAAAAAAAAAAAAAAGGATAGTAATAATCTCTATTTATATTTAGATGAAAAAAAAAAAAAAAAAGATAGTATTTTTATTTAGATATGATAGAGGAGATAAAATAAAAGAAATGATAACAACCAAATTACTATCATATCCTTCTAAATATAAGGGATATGAGTGGAATAATAATTTTCTCTTTTTAATTATTGATAAAATTTTAATTTTGTATGCACATATAAAACTATATACAATTAAATTAATATTACATTATCATATAATTAAGCAATTTACAATAGAATGGAATTCACCTATTAATGAAGTTTATGGAGAAAGTGGCATATGCATAATAGGAAACTAAGATATGAATGCACCACTTTTACAGGAAAGTAAAATTTTCTCGTGTTTTTTGCTAGAAACATTTTGAGGAAAATTAAGCGATTACGAGAAATTTACTTTCCTAAAAATTTTCTTTTTTACGCTAACCAAACTTCTAAGAAATTTAAAAAATTTCAGTTTCTCTTCTTTTCTATCTACTTTATGCTAACCAAACCAACCCTTGGGGTTAGTGCCGAAAGATATTTGTGTATGACTTTTTTTTTTTGAAAAAAATAAAATTAATCTTTAATATACACACATAAAAAATCACTACCAATCAATTTGCTATTAGGAAATGTTTTTGAGGATGATTGGGGTTGACTGAACCGGACTACTTCCATCACCACCGTGAAGCTGTCTCACCCAAAATCACTAGTTCACCAGTTCAAAACCCAATCTTCAACATACACACACGCATATATATATACCATCACTTTTAAACACCCAAATCTTCAACACACACACACACACACACACAACTCCAAGATCGAAATGGTGGCCATAGCAGTGGCATGTGCATGGTCATCACAGGGATGGGTTCAACGGCGATGACTTTCTTCCATCACCGCCTATTGTAAAAACCACACCAACAATCCAAAACCCCCTCCCATCACAAAACCAAACCCCAATTGAAAAAGAAAAGAAAAAACAGTAGAGAACCCTGTTAAGGTAATTAGACGCCACTAATTCCTTTAGGACCCTGCTATCAATACACACAATATATATATATTTTTTCCTAGTTGGTACTCACACACATGTCTCTTCTGAGACTTAAACCCCTGACCTCCCTTTGAAGGTAAGAGGTTGATACCGCTAGGTCACTGACCCATTGATGGCAATACACACAATAACATGCACAAGATCAAGATCACGAGACAAGAATTATACGTGGTTCGGCCAACTTTGCCTACGTCCACGACGCTCACCAAAAATTCACTATATCTGTTGAGTAATTATAAGATGTGGATTAGCAGATCTCACACACATATATACCGTGTATTTCTTTCTCACTCCTGAAAAGTACACTATGTGTTTTCTTACTCACTCTCTGAAAAATATATATACACATTATATTTCTCTCATTTTTTCTTTCTTATCTCTCACTTTGCTCTGCTCTAATTTGAGCTACTAAGCTTTGCATCTTCTCTGTGCTCTCCACACAACTCTTCTTGTTGGTGTGTTGTGTTTGTTGTTATTGTTGTTGTGTCTTCTCATTCCATTTGCCCATCTATTTATAGGCAAACTATGTGAATAAATTTAGAATGTGAAACCAATAACTAAGTTGGTGAGTCACAATTGACAACCATAGTTAGTGCCAACCATGTGGAGAAATTGAGAACATGAAACCAACAACTAAGTTGGTGAGCCGCAATTGATGACCATGGTTGGTGCCAACCATGTAGATTCTGCTGAATTCTTTGAATCCTAACTCTACCAGCAAACTTTGTAACCATATCATTTCCTTGCTAGCCTCTGTCACAGCAACATACTTTGCTTCTGTAGTAGATAACGCTACAATCTTCTATATTTGCGAAACCCAACTAATTGCAGTCATATCTATCGTGAAAACATACCCGATAGTACTTTTTCTGTTATCTACTTCATTAGCAAAGTCTGAATCTACATAACCTTATAGCTACATCTCGCCCTTTCTGAAGCATAGACATTTGTCTGTGGTACCCTATAGATATCTTAATATCCATTTCACTACTTCCTAGTGTAGCTTTCCTAGATTTGTCATGAATCTTCTTATAGCTCCCACTGCATATGCAATGTCTGGTCTCGTACACACCATGACATACATTAAACTTCCAATGGTTGAGGTATACGGAATTATAGCCATGAAGTTCATCTCATCATATGTCTTTGGACACTGATCTTAGGATAATCGAAAGTGATTAGCTAAGGGCGACCTCACCGCCTTAGCATTACTCATGTTGAACCTCTTCAAAACCTGTTCAACGTACTTAGCCTGAGACAACTGTAAAGTACCTTTCTGCTTGTCTTTGTCAATCCTTATCCCAAGAATTTGCTTCTTCAACTTGCTGATTTCTTCAAAATTAGAACCAGCTACTAACATGTCATCAACATAAAGTATGAAGATGATGTAACTCATCTCAAACCTCTTGAAGTAGCAACAATGGTCAGCGTTACATTTGTTGTAGCCATATCTTCGCATAAACCTATCAAATTTCTTGTACCACTGCCTTGGGGCTTGTTTCAAACTGTACAAGCTTTTCTTTAACTTATGCAGAAGTTTTTCCTTTCCTTTGACTGAGAAACACTCCAGTTGCTGCATGTAAATCTCCTCCTCTAGGTCTCCGTGGAGGAAAATAGTTTTGACATCTAACTACTCTAGGTGCAAACCCTGTGCGGTAACAATGCTGAGAACTGGCTGAATGGTAGTCAGTTTCACAACTAGTGAAAAAATATTGGTGTATTCAATCCCTTCTGTTGAAAGCCTTTAACCACCAATCTTGCCTTATATCTCTTGGAACCATTACGTTCCTTTTTGACCTTGTACACCCATTTATTGTGAAGAGCTTTCTTCCTTACTGGTAACTTTACAAGTTCCCATGTCTTATTGGAGATAAGGGTCTTCATTTCATCTTCCTTTGCAAGGTCTCACTTGCTAACATCTTCAACCTGATATGCTTCGGCATAGCATTCAGGCTCGCCATCAAATGTGAGCAACATATAATCCAAATATTTTTGATTTGGAAGAGGTTCTCGTGGGGACTTTCGAAGTTTGGGTGTTGGAGTTGGACTTCGCGATGTACTCTAATCGATGAGTTCCTACTGTGAACTCTCAATTATCTGATCCTCAACATCTTCTGAATTATCATTTAACTTAACATACTTAGGCTAGGGCTTCTATGTAAAGGACTAGTTGACTATGTTGCATCTCTATCCTTGTACATCACCTTCTTATTGAAAATCACATCTTCACTTCTGATGATTTTCTTGTTCTGGTAATCTCATAGTCGATAACCAAGTTCATCTCCACCACAACCAATGAAGATGCATTTTAGTGACTTGGGGTTTAGCTTTCCCCTAGTATGGTCACTAATATGTGCATATGCAATACAACCAAAAACTTTCAACCATGGAATATTTACTTTATTGTTGTTCCATACCTTATCTGGTATCTGAATCTCCAAAAGCACTGATGGTTTGTGATTAATCAGGTAAGCTGCTATGTTAACTACTTCTGCCCAAAACTACTTGGGTAGACCCGCATATATGCACATGCTTTTGGCTCTCTCCGTCAATATTCAGTTCATCCGTTCTGCCACCTCATTTTGCTATGGGTTCCTTGCACAGTTCTCTCCAATCTGATTCCATTCTCAAAAAAGAACTTCTTGTACCTAGTGTTTTCATACTTTTCATCGTTGTCTGATCTCAACCTCTCGATCTTCAAACCTATCTTATTCTCCACCATGGTGTTCTAATTCTTAAACACCTCAAACACTTCAGATTTGTACTTCAAGAAATAGGGGTGGAAGGCTTAAGGTTATGCTTAGGCTTGTCACTTGCAGATTCTCTTCTTGAATGCTGCAAGGAGGCTGCAGTAGTAAGACAGATTGTCAGGCTTGCCAACTGATGTTTTTATGTCTGACATAGAGTGTTTAATAGAAGTGAAATAGGCACACCTTTAAGGATGTGTAGATTTATGTTCATAGGCTTAAGAAAGTTATGTCGGATAATTTCCATTTTAGGATATCTGGAGGATTTCCGAACTCTTCAAACCTTTTTTTATGACTTTTTAGGAATCTGAGTTGTATAGGAGTCTATTTTATTAACTCTTACATACTTTGAAAAAGAATAGTACTATTCATGCCCCTGTTCTCTTTTTGGGTCATTATCACTAAACCAATAAGTCTTACAACAATCCAGAGCTTCAAGAACTAAAAATTTGCTCCCAGTTTACAAAATATGATGTTTAAGAAATTCAAAAGAGAAACATGTTCATATACTTTAACAAATTCCAAGAAATGAAATGTTAACATATACAAAACCCAACAATAGAATTATTATTTTACCTAGAAATCAATAATTTAGACCATTCATATTAGTTCAAGTTTAGGTTTCCTATGCATAATAACAAAATAACACAACAGGCATCTTTAAAAACAGAAACAACATAACAGATGTTAAATAACATACCTATCGTTTAGA